CGCCTACTGCGGCGGTTGGGGCGTGAGAAGGATAGTTACCTCACGCACTCCGCCTCCTCCTGTTCCTTTGTGAGCATCACTGCTTTGCAGAAAGAGGAGATGACTTCCCATTGCCCCCTGTCCTGCACCATTGCCTCAATTAGGGTTCGTGAAGAAACTTGAACTTATATTTTACTTTACTTGTAATCCACCTTGAGCAAGCGTTGTAATTAAACCTTTTACGTATAAGAAAAGGTCTTTGACGTGGGCACTTATAAGCTAATGACAAATATTTTGTCACGACTTGAATCCAAAAACTCTATTAATATGCGATTATGAAAATATGTATGTAGTCAATAAATCCACAAACCGAACGTAGCACAAATATATAAAAAAAAACTTATATAATAAATATAATTAGATCAACGGTACACCCTTCAAATAAAGTATATAACAACATCTCTAAGGTTCCCTGTTAATGTTTTACAGTTGAGCAACAAAACTTTTCTTCCTAGGTTAACTTTAATCAACACCTCGGAAGCTTGAGGTACTTCCGAACACAAAAGACTTACTAAGCAAAGTTAAATACTTGATAAATGAAAATGAGCTTGTATTTTGCTTTTGATTTGAGTGAAATATAGTGTATGCACTGATATGTATTTATATACGCACGCATCAGCTTTCTAAGCTGCTAGTGTGTTCAAGTATAATAATAAACACAATTATAATATTATGCTTTTTCCAGAATCATTTGTCCAATTTTTTTTATGATTTGCGTTAACATGTAAATTGAACAAAATAATAATTTAATTTGACGATTTTAATTTCATTTTTTATTTAATCTTCAATAAACCTTGCCGGGATACTAGGGTTTCTTCTTGTGTCGTGTGAGTTCACATATTTATAAATAGTGGATTTTCATAGCCACAATGTCAACATGAAACCAGGTGAAAGCGACATCTTATCTTTTTCTATCGTTGACGATTGCACGGTTGGTGCGTTGGCCGAGCATATGTCGCGCAACGTGTCGCGGATAAGATTCCTGCACGGATTAACTCTTTGTTTTGTGTGATACCACGGCCTCACAGAAAACCAGCGTGAAACAACCACAGCGTTGTGTTCCGCCGTGTGAGTGAGGTTACCGGAGGTCCAATCCTTCCCCTCTCCCAATCCTTAAATCTCCAAATACCTTATCCGTAAAAGGTCGGCAACGCACTCGTAACTCCTCTGTTGCGGGTGTCCATGAGCGGCGCGGCGCTGATTGCTTACCATCAGGTAATCCGTCTGCTTGTTTGCCGACCTACTACATAAAAAAAATAACTCTTTGTTGTGATCCACTATTTGTTGTTAAACGAATAAGAAAAGTAGTTTAATAACAACTTTTTTCATGGCTGACCGATTTTATTAGTTTGTTACTATTTCACTGGTGTTTTTTTTTAATATAAATGCATCGTTTAATAGAACCTCTTTTTTCTTATCTGTCCATCGTTTTTTATCGTTTTATGCCCGGTTCCTATATTTAACGAATCGCCGTTGTATACGCATTACGACCAAATGACATTACGAATAGTTATCTTGACCGTCTACTGACGGTTAAAATATTTATAGGAAAACCACAGACACCATAGATCTCCATATAATTCGCTTACAGATATCCGTTAGTTGCAAACCGTCAGTAAGTTGCACGACGAGACGTTTATTATAGGAACGGTTTTAGCTTACGAGTCGTATATAAAACTACTATTCGTAATTAAAACGGATCGTTTCTCAATTATAGGAACCGGGCGTTAATGGTGTTTTTTTTATAGCAAAACCTTTTTGTTGTTACCTGTATTGCCGTACCGGCCGTATATTTCACATTACCTTTTAAATTAACTAAAAAAGGTGATCGTAACAAGTTTGAATTTTATGAAAAAAAAACAACTTTTGTTTCATTTTGTACAGCTTTTCTCAACTCATTTTGTTCCTTATCAGTTTTTTTTTTGTTTTGGGCAGAAAAGTTCTCTGAGTTTTGTTTTTAAGAAATGGGGAAAAGAAATGAATTATTTAGCTATTGTTTTGTTTGTTTCTGGTAAATTTTGTTTATATTTACATTTAGATAATAATAACTTCATCATCAGCATCATAAGCCCTAACTTAAAAGGTTCCGATTGTCAATATTCCTTGCATGTTTAACCCACAATTCACATACGACAGCTTTTGTTGGTTACAATTTGTATTATGTTCTCATTCTTTAGTTCAAATTTTTACCCTGCAAGAATTTACGATAGAATCGATGATACAAAACAATTACCTAACCTCTAAAACATAAGAGCCATTTCAGCTTGCAAGCTACTACAATAAATATAGTACTAAAGTTAGCAGGAAATTGGTTAGGTAACATTGAAGTTACAAGTACTGAATACCACTGAAACGCTGAAACACTCCAACTTTACGTAATGATAGTTTCAGTTTAAGTGAGCTAATCGATTTCAGGGCTCCGGAAGTTTGAACTGAAACACTTCTTTGAATTAAGAAAGATGTTTTGCTAAAAATCCCAAAGATAGGAGAATAAACAGAGCGTATTTATATATCACAAGAGAAGAAAAAACAAATAAAAAACAAAAATGACACAGAGCAAAGTAATTAAAAAACATCAAGATCCTCAATTAGCAATTGCGTTTGTATAACCTCTATAGTAGTCAGTTCAATGCAACTGTTTTTAATTATCTGACATCTCATTACTGTCAAAGAACCAAACAACTGGCTTCCTCATTAAAACTAGAGGTCTCTGATCGATATCGTCCGAGCTCTACTGTTGTACTTCTCTCGATTTTATCTCTACTTTCAAAGTAAGTAGTAATAGGCACGTTCCTTGTTAGTGTGGCTTTTAATTACTATTCGTTAGAGTCCAAACAAGATTAAGTGTGGCAAGCAAATCGTCTCAGGGTTGGATTCTTGCTTTTGAGGAAGTATTATATGTCAGTTATTTTTAGACTGTCCTTAAATAATAAACTACGCTTTATAAGGTATATAAAAAGGAGTCTGAAATTGTCTTGTTTTTAAAGGAGAAGATTATGTATTTTGGTTTTTTATGGGAAAAGTAGGCAGACGACCAGTCCAATAATACCCGATAGTAAACAATCGGCGCCGCCCATAGACAACCGCAACACCAAAGGAGTTACAAGTGCGTTGCCGGATAGTTGGGGATATTTAAGAATCGGGAAGGGATAGTGGAGGGAATGGGATTACGCCTTCGATAACCCCGGTTTTCGCTTTCTTCTGCCTTGACAGAGAGAGTTAGTATCTTATGACGAAATACCTCCGTGTTTCATCTCCTGTAAATAGCTTTTCTCGCCTTCCTCTCTCTAGTGCGAGAGGGATCGTATCATTCTCTTACTGACTAAAAACCACTGCGTTCTATTTCCATCTCCAAGCCGAGGGCGCGTAAATTAGTCTTAAATTTTTGTTTTTTTTATGAGAATAAACCTCTCTGATTCAGCCTCTTACTGATTTTAAACCACCCTGTTATGTAAAAATAATATTACTTATATGAGGCGTCTATTGGTTTATGACAATGGGTCACAAACTTATGTTGATCTCATGTGTAATTACTTGAATAACAAGATAGTCCAAATTAATTTAAGATTCTTGCTCCACCCTTTCAAGGCATGCTAAGGTATTATCTAGAGCTGCAACTTAATAGGGACAATGCAACTTTACACGAGGGTACTAAATTGTGACATTATAATTTTGTTACATCGATATTGTACTTATTTTTCTTATTTCTACATACTTATTTCTCTAAAGTATGTAATTAATTAATGAGTTTTTTTACATATATAGACTTAGACATAGTCCTTATTATAAATATGAAAGAAAAAAATTTGTCAAATCAAAAATTTTAATCTACACCGCATGCTTAAAAGGCACTCGAGGTAAAAAAATTACTAAACAAATGTGACATCAAAAATAACAGAAATATTCAAAAACAATTTCAGCTTCGTTTGTTCAATCGTCATATCTAACGCTTATAAAATATTTAATCTGGATTTACATCGATGTGTTTGCTGTAAAATATTTGTGAAACTGCAAATATTTATTTGAAACATTTAAATATGACAGAAACCAGTGCAAATGAAATCAGGTCAAAATTCTATTTAGTTTTAACCGGGTCATGCATTAAAATTAAATATATTTTGCTCCATGAAATGATTTAACAAAATTATGTAAATCAATTAATAACGAGTTATTAAGTACTTAAAATGTTATGCATAACTTACGCCCTGATCCACGGCTTAGGAAGGCGAGCTACGCCGTAGGCCGAAGGGCCCTACTACGCCGTAGCAAAGCCTACGCCGTAACAAGGCCTACGCCGCAGCATATTTGAGATTTTATAAAAACAAATTATACGTGACTCCCTTTTTATTCATAACTGGTTTCTAGATTTTAATTGAAATATTATATGAAAAAGAAATGAATTAATATAATTTAAAATGGCGGTTCTAAGTGGAAAGTTCAAAGGAATGAAATGTACAGTATAATTTAATGTAGTACAACACTTAGAGCTACTTAGTGCTAAATCAAAATCGCGTGGCTATACGCAATTACATACTTACCCTGCTTTCATGTTAATTAATGAGAACAGTAGTAGTCGTCATGAAAATTTAAAAATGTGGCTTGGTATAAGTAGTTAGCTAGTTTTTCTTTGAAAATTTCAATGCACTTTGTAAAAGTTTATAAATTTAATGTATTTTATTAATAACTTGTCTCTTAAAGCAGGATATCGAACATTGCTGGACAACCTGGAGAAGGTCGTTGATGGTAGGGACACAATCTTAAACACATACACCATTGTGCGCCATTCATTACTTCAAATAATTTTGAGGCTGTGTAGAGCGGTCAATCAGTCAGCAAGTCAAGCTGTATCTTAAAACTAATACAACGTAATTTGTTTGATCGGTTTTATGTTGATGACCAATTTGATAATCCTGTCAAATAATACAAATAATAATATTTACGATATTTTATTTATGCGAACGCTAACAAATCTGATATTTGAAGCTATTTACAACGCTTATGTAGTAGAAAAATGCTGTGGACAAATCATAATATTAATTAAATTATAATACACACATACAATTATAAATTATGTTTTCTTGCCTACAAAATACATGTCATGGACGTTTTAATAGTTGATATGGGAAAATATAACTTAATATAACTTTGTTTAGCAAATTTGATCAGGAGTCGAGACTCATCATCTCTTGAACAATGGTTATGTTGCTTATATATGTTTGTCTATTTTAAGTGCGGGAGCATACCGCCGCCTCACACAAAGTCGGTATGGAACATTAAGTATGGACAAATCCAAATCCTGACCCTTCAAACCAGAGCCCCAAAAGTTGTAAATTGTAAAGGCGATGCACTTGTAAATCCTGGATCTTCATGCCCTGCCAATACGGTGGTTTCCAACTAGTCAAATTCAATACTTTTATCGAAATGTCAAAAACAATAATTTCTATGAATCTTGTATGAAATAGCAAGTTGTGACATCATTGTATTTTAACGTCAAATAGTGTACTTATTTCTCTTATATTAGCAATTAAAATACAAACATCAAGTATATCGTAAAATAATGAATGAAGGTATAATTGTTTTTCAGTATTTTTATAGTTATATACGTTGAAATAATTTCTTTTTGACTGAGGATACAAGCCAATTGCTTACCATCAGGTGTCATTAGCTCATTTATCACCCTTTCCCTTAGTTAAAATATCTACTTACAAGTGTGCCATAAACCTGCAAATCCTGCGATAATAAGAGATTCCTCGCCAAGACTTCCCTCGAACATTTGGACAGCTATCGTCACAAGCTTAGTAGCTATACATATGCAGTTAAAGATGCATGCCACGAAGACATACATTTGAATCAGCTGGACTCTACGCTGTAAATAATATAAGAGAGTGTTATACATAATTTCTTGCACCAAAAGTAATTAAGACTTTTGCTTTCAAAATCTGTTAAAAGTTTATTGTCAGCTAGTCTCGGTTATAATAATCCGACGTGACCTTTAATGTGTTAATGTCTACTTCAACCAGACGTTAGCCAGCCGTGGTTTGGTGAAAGCGCAATAATCGATAAATCTTAAGTGTGGCAGAGCCATGCTTCGGTATGCATGGGTCTATATGCAATAGAAACAATCACAGGTTAATATGAAAATATATAACTATTAAAAACTATTAGACACTATTTTATTTCTGTCTCGTAAAGTCAAAAAAGTCAAAATCATTTATTTCAAATAGACCACAGTTTAACATTTGAAAGTCAAGCAAAAAAAGAAAAGAAAAAAAGTCTTTTCAAGAGGTTTAACTTTATGCGTGTCAGTCTGTCCGTCTGTCCTCCAGTCTATGGAGAATAACGAGCAAGAAACTCCATGGTTACTCTTTTTCAATCATTTTTACAATTCATTTATAATAAGAAAACAACATTAATATAAAACAAATTTAAGTTTAAAAGTGGGATATGAGTACGTAACCGCTCAATTTAAATTGTACTAAATCCTGACTAACACGATGCTTTAAATCAATATAACATCATAAGTCAATATCAACATTAAAAGAAATCGGCAAAAAAGATAAATACTTATCTATTATTTTAGACTAATAGAAAAGATAGACATAAAAATGGCATCAACCAAATTGTATATATTTATATATTTTATGTTCCATTTGTTTAGGTAATTAATTAAACTTAAAAAATCTTGATATATTCTTTTTATATAAAGAAAATCGTATAAAATACATACAAAGATTTTTTTTATGGTATAAGCCGGCAAACGAGCATACGGATTACCTGATGGTAAGCAATCGGCGCCGCCCATGGACACCCGCAACACCAAAGGAGTTACGTGTGCGATGCCGACTTTTTGGGGATAGGGGTTGGGGATATAAGGATCGGGAAGGGATAGGGGAGGGGGAGGGATTGGGCCTCCGGTAACCTCACTTACACGGTGAAACACAACGCTGTGGGTTGTTTCACGCCGGTATACTGTGAGGTCGTGGTATCACTTCGGTCGAGCGACCCATTCGTGCCAAAACTTGGCTCTCCCACACTTAGAGATTTGATAGATATATTATTATATAGATTATTTAAATTTAGTTTATTACCTAACATCGGTTTAGGTAGACATTTTTGAATACGTGAACAAATGGACCATAGACCTGTTGTGATGATTGAAAACCTACTTACAGAACTGATCCCGATCGTTAACATACCACAGGTTGCTATATAAGTCATTATCAGGAACATGTAGGCCAATTTAAAATATATTGACAAATCATCATTGTTATGAAATATTATATCCATTTGTGTCTTCAATTGCATCAGTTCTACTATTGCCCACACCTGGAAAAGAACCGATTTTATGTGTTGTTAAAGTGGTCAAGGTAAGGGATTGTACTAAATTTAAGAGTTCTTTTTCGTCTTATGTTGAATATGAACTCGACAAATTAATTTTAGAAATCCTGTAGTTTATGTGGTTTGAGATGTTTTTGGTAGACAGCAAAAAATATTTTAACTGAACGCCTTTTCATTGGTCAAACAGTAGTAGAAGTTGTGATCGCTAGAATCAGGACTAGGATTCTCAATCTAATCTCCTCCTGAGAGGCTAATAAAGCCCTTTTAATTTGGTGTCCATGGGCGATGCTGATTCGATACTATCAGTAGTCCGACGTGCTCATTTGCCGCTCTATACTATAAAAATACTACTACGGTCTATCTGCAAATTACACATCATCAGCCTATAAGCCCACTGCTGAGCAAAGGTATATTCTCATACGGAGAAGGTTTAAGCATGAATCGCCACGCTTGCTCGGCAGATTGGCGACTTCAAACCCATAAGTAATAAGAAATTATAAGTCCAGGTCTTCCCACCATATTCACCGTATGTCAGTGGACTCTAAATAATCATGATAAGTTTTTTTAGTCGGGAAAAACAGGTTTAACTTCAGTAACAGTCAGGTTTTATTTTCCAGGTTTTCAACCAGCACCTTTAAACTCCGGGCCACCACGTAAAACATGCATTCATGCATATTTTCCCAGTAATCAAAACCAGAACTGTCACAACACTATAAAAATGTATATTTAAAATAAGATCTCCCTTTGACAGATCCGACAAGATTTTCTTTGCGACATCTCTATACATTATGCTAGTATGAATACTGACATTTTAAATATGAATGTGTATTTGTTTGTTTTGTCGTTTCATCTTTAACTAGAGCGTTTTTATGTGATACGGCAGCAAACGAGCAGACAGCAGTATTACGGAGTAAGCAACCGGCACTGCCCATCGCAACATCGGAGTAGGAGCAAGTATGTTGTCTGCCTTTTGGGAATGGGTTTTAGAGATTTAGGACTTGCGTAGGGATGTGGGGAGGGGAAGGATTAGCTTTCGGTAATTTCATTTACTAAGCGAAATATAACGCTGTGGTGGATGTACGCAGATTATTTGGATGCAGTGGTATTATCACTGCGACCGAACTGGTCCATTTGTGCCGAAGGTGTGTTCTCACACCATTGTAAAAGTTAATGTTAAGTTGATTCTTTGTTTTTTTCCTTTTATAAAACGTAGTTAAAAGCTTTTCTCCTTTACTTTAGGAGTGCTTACAAATAATATACAAGTTTACATTCATAGTTCAACATCACACTCAAACTATTCGAAACAACAATTTGGAGATGGCTCCAAAAATTATTCCACCCTGTAAGACGTTGCATGCCAGCCAGATGTTGAGCCATTGCATCGTGCAGTCACTTCTTTACGTACGAAGCAGAAGGTTAAAACTAGTACTACATAAATGTAGAAAAGACATTCCAAGTGGCAACTCAGATGTATGCACATTATGTAATTCAAACTGCTCTTCTTTGCATACAAATGACTCGCGTCTAAGACTCACTGCTTTCTGCCTGAAGCCCTGTTTGCAGTCAGCAAATAAGACGTCTTTTCACTTGGAAAAATTGTGTGACTGAAAACTCGTGTTTGTGTTTCAGACTGAAACTAAAAAATGTTTAACGTATTTCGAAGACTCAAGTCGTAAAATGTAATAATATACGAGATACGCATTGAAGCCTTTTTGGAGCGAAACCATTTGGTATCAAAATTTAGAGTAGGAATTCTAAAAATATTTGCGATATTTTGTTTCAGTGGTTTAGTGATAAAAACATGGTTTCTTATTTATGTTTGGGCAAAGACGAATTATACTTTAAACTGCTTCTAACTTCTTAGTACGAGTGATCATGAGTGACGTGGCTGTTGAGCAAGAGTCATGAATCTGTGGCACGATGTTTGTATGGCAGCAGGTATAGCCACCGCCACGTCCAGTGTGTGGTTCGAACTCTGCTTAGCAAGATTTACTCCCCCCATCCAAAGCAAAATAACTTGTAACTCCTTGGTGTTCAACGCAGATTGTTACGATTGTTAAATCCTCGGGTCATATTTTGTACATTTGTGTAATAAAAAAAGGGGAGACTTACAAAAGACATGATGCATATGACAATAACTCCAGTCAGCAAAGGTATGCAACCGCAACATTTCTGTGGATATCCAAGACAATCTATCGGGCAACATGTTGGTACACCGGTTGTATTATTGTCGGATTTAGGCGGCGGAGGTGGTCTACATAAAGGATTCCTGAAAAGAGGGGAACCATGCAATGGAGTCTGTTACATTAATCTAGTCCTCAATAGTTTGTAAGTCTTTAAACACAAAACATCCACAACATAAATGTCAGACTCTTACTGTCTTAAAAATACCTCATCCCTTTTCCTGCTTTAGATCTGGGCCACGGCTGAGGGTAGCCCATGTACGTACATGCTCGCCTGGTTTCATTAGAGTTTGATTGAAACTTAAATATACTCTATGTACCTACGCCTAAAGTTTAATTTACTCTTTTGGGGAAATAAGTGTATTCATTATATTAAAATGACAAAACAGTGTAGATAGGAGTTAAAAAATGACGAATAAAAAGGATATATACATTTAAAAAGAGCTAGCTTACCCACACGGACATAATAATATTTTGATAACTTGCATTTCATAGCTTTGTCAGTAAGATTAAAACAACAATTCTGTGTTATTTTTTCTTGTTTTAAGTGATAAAACCATAAAATAATTGTATAATTTATTATTACTACACATTATTAGTGACACATATGACAGGATCAGTGTCAATTATAGTGTAAAATCTATAGGATCAGATTGAATACATAATATACTCTTTAAGATTGAACCTTTTTTTCGATCTTCGATATGATTGAACCTATTATATAGGTATACTCGTTGGATAGATATTTGTTATTGACATTATTATTTTCTTACAACAGCTGTAAATAAAATATTGAAGACACAAACAGAACAGATTTTTAAAAAAAAAATATTTTTTTTATAAATAAACGAGTATGCTATCCCGTATGGACTTTCTGGGCTAATAGTTATAAAGTGTTTCATTAAACATGTCCCCCTTTTTGAATCATCATCATCATCATCATCATCAGACGAACAAATGCGTGGGAGAGCCATGCTTCGACACGAATGGGTCGGCTCGACCGGAGTGATACCACGGCCTTACAGAAAACCGGCGTGGAATAACCACTGCGTTGTGTTTCGCCGTGTGAGTGAGGTTACCGGAGGCCTAATCCTTCCCCTCCCCTAATCCCTCATCAATCCCTAAATCTCCAAATCCCTAATCCCTAAAAGGTCGCCAACGCACTCGTAACTCCTCCGTTGCGAGTGTCCACGGGCGGCGCTGATTGCTTACCATCCGGTAATCCGTCTGCTCGTTTGCCGACCTATTACCAAAAAAAAAAAAATCATCATCAGCCAAAACAAGCCAAACAAATGCCTCTTCCTCGCCCTCAGCATGATAAGCGAGAAAAAAAAACCTCTCGACTAATAAAAGCGTTATCACGTCTTACTAAATAAATAAATAAATAAATAATAAAATAACTTACTGGTTAAACAAAATTAAAAAAAATACAGATTATAAAATATCATGATAGAAAAGGAAGCAAATAAGAAAAACAATTACCTATCCTATTTTTAACTCAGCTGTTTACTAAGAAAAACTTACGCAAAATAATTCTTCTATCAAGCACTAAATAGAATCTTCACAAGTTTTTCTTTATAAAAATCTTTTTTCAAAGAACAAGAAAGTTAATAGAGAGTGGTTATAACCAGATTTATGTGGGTGGAAACAGTTGCGTTCTCAATGTTTAATATAACCGACTTTAATGAGAATTATTTAGAAGGAGTCTCCGGTCGACTAGACCAGTAAGTTTAAGTGTGGGAGAGCCAAGCTTCGGCACGAATGGGTCTGCTCGACCGGAGTGATACCACGGCCTCACAGAATACCGGCGTGAAACAACCCATAGTGTTGTGTTTTGCAGTGTGAGTGAGGTTACCGGAGGCCCAAATCACTTCCCTTCCCCTATCCCTACCCGATCTTTATATCCGCAACCCCTATCCCCAAAAGGCCGGCAACGCACACGTAACTCCTTTGGTGTTGCGGGTGTCCATGGGCGGCGCTGATTGCTTACCATCAGGTAATCCGTCTGCTCGTTTGCCGACTTATACCATAACAAAAAAGTAGCAGTAGCAAGAATGCCTGCTGAGCAAGATCAGAGTCAAAGCATTTATTTCCACAAGACTTAGTAGTCTAAATCTAAACAGGCACTTTTAGTGTCAAAAATAGCATAGTATGTAATAAGTTTGCCAGATAGTCAAGTTAATTTGGAAGAACCCTACTTGGGCAGGAATAGGCCGAATTGTCTGGAGTAACCCACGGCCACACAGAAGTCATTTTTTCGTATGTAAATTTATATATTTGTTGTACACATACTTGGTGCCGGTTTGCTTTTTGACATGATTATAATAAAAAATTAAAATGGTAATAATATATTTCCAAAAGCAAGGTATATATACTTTTTGATATCCAATCAACATAAGGTGATTTAGATGGACAAAGTATTTATTTTAAATTTTATAATTAGAGAGAACTGAAATAATGTGTAAAATTTAATGTGACAGTGCGAAAAGGTAAATTTATTATTATTAAATCTGTAAAGTGTAACTACTAAACTAAATTTTTATAGTATTAATAAAGCCATACCTTTTGTAATCAATTGGTCTGCTCAATAGCCCAAATAAAGTTACTGTCTCTGTACTGAATAAATCTTTATTAACAATAATTACAGAAAAAATATTGCATTAATGTATTTGCTTCAAAAAGAAAAAGTCTCGTTTCCACTTCATTGTATTCAAGCACTCCTTTAAACCAAGGTAACGTACAAAAATCAATATAACGTAATGATAAAGCATTATCACTTCCTCCTTTTGTGAAGAGAGGGGCTTTGTAAGATCGGGAGCAGAGATTATGAACGAGGGTATGATAAAAGAAGATATTGCATTACAAAATATATGTGTGCCGCGCCTCTACATGCAAGAGGCACTCACTTGACCCGCATTGGCGCGGTCGCGATAGGGATGTCGCTTTAAATTTATGGAACGTCTGTTGAGAATTATGTTTGTTCGGGATTTAAGGGTCGTTGTGACTTGGAAGATGAAGCAGCTAAGCAGAATAATGTACTCCGGCGTCAGCTTTGAGCAGGAGAAGTAACAGTAAGAGTCTGCTTCTACCGTCCATAAAATTAATTTCCCCCTAAAAAACAATGAAAGCAAAACTCATCTGCTTATCTTACTCTGGTTTCGAAACTTGGAAAGTACCGATGTGACATTTCAGAGTTGTGTTTACTTTTAAAGTCATCTTTGATAAACGGTTAAGGAAAACATCGTGAGGGGAAACCTAGTCTTTCAATTTCTAATTATAAGTTAGAGAAAAGTTTGAGAGACGGATTGTAGGTTTCACCTCCAAACTATTCTGTGTCAGGTGAGGCCTTTGCTCAGCAGTGGGCACTTATAGGCTTATGATATGATGACATGTGATATCGATTTAATTGGCCCTCGTACTCGTCTCCGGCTTTAGACTTACAACCCATAATGCTTACCCCGCAACCCCGGCTGAACATTAGCCCTAAAGGGCCCCGTCAGTGGTGGTCTATTGGCTCTTTAAGCATGCGGAACGCTACGCGCCGTACGCTCGGGTCTGGTTCTGGTCGGGCGACGAGCTACCATTAATCCGCAGACCCGTGCTTACGGTGGCCGGAGATCGTCTCTCGAGTCGTGACTTGTTGTTCTCGTAATATCGCTTATTGAGGACTTCTACGTGTGCTTGGCTTAGGGCAATGACCTTGAATGAATATTTAAGGTTGACGTGTCTTTGGCATATGCAAGTTTAATGATTTTCTAATAAATATTTACGATTTTCAGCCGATAATAACGGATTTCCTCTGTAACTACTTTTTCATACCAAATTTTAGTCGCGTGTTTATCGTCTTTTTATATTTTTAGCTTAAAGAGGAAGTATTAAACTATTTTAGGATTGCATTAATTTATAGCAGGCATAAACGTACCTACGTGCTCAATTAAAATACTAAATACCTGAGAAAAATAAGTATCTAGTTTTTTTTGCTTTTGACCCAAACCGTATTTATTCAAAATTGGTGGTCTCTGATAATGAGATATCTAGTTTTTGTTTAAATTTTCATCAACCCAAAATGTTTTATGTGATATTTCGGCAGACGAGCAGGAATATTAAAATTAAAACGTAATATTAAATAATCGGAGCCGCCAATAGGCACACCAGATAGGTTATGAGTGCATTGTTAGCCTTTTAGGTGTTAGAGGATCGGGGATGTATTTCTTTCCATCACTTATTTTAAGTAGAGCAACCGGCAACCTCAGTCATAGCCCTTCAAAGTTTCAGGCGCTGTATTTTATGATCCATATCCCGAAATAGGGTTTAATAATGAACCGAAATGTATTTTTGTGGTATAAAAAAACTACCATTTTAAAAATATTTACCTCTAAGAAAAAAATGAAATTCACATCCCCACATATTTTATGTTGATTCTACACCAATTTAAAGTTAGGGTCAACTTTAAGACGTATAAATCCCGTTTCTTTCCATCTCAAGTTGGTAGCAACCCTACCCAAGCCTCCTCATAAGTCGGACGTGTGAAGGGCTATGGTTGCCACTTCTTTGTTTTCTTTGGGTTCCGTCCGTCTTTATAAAGTTTATAAATAGAATGTTTTAGCTTTACTTCGTCTTTGGTTTCTAACACGTTTACGTAAGTATTCAATGAAAAACTTGTATTATAAAGGTTTGTAAGAAACTTTTCTTAGAAAATTTGAAATGGCTTGAAAAAAGATGTCGTTATAAAGTAAAGAATATAGCATGGATGTTTTTGCATAGATATTGAGTAGAGGGGGGTTGGTAAGGGTAGACTAAAAGTTGTTAAGTCCACAATTATTTAAGTGTATTATGTATTTTTGAATCATTATCATCATTGGCCTAGAAGTGTCCACTGCTGAGCAAAGGCCCCTTCTCATATGGAAAAGGTTTGAGCACTCATCACCCCGCTGGTTCAAGGCAGATTCGTGATTAAAATCTAATATTAATTAGAAATTTTAAGTTCTGGTTTCCTCCCGATGTTTTTCTTTACCATTTGTCAGTTTTGTCTAAATAATCTTAGAAAGTACTTGCCAGATTTTAAACCCGAAACAAGCGAGCGTCTTAACCTTACCTTAAACGCAGGAATGTGAGAATTGTTCACGTGGGTTATAATCTATACATTTTTATTTCTTTTTCTTCTAAGTACACAATAATTAGCAGTGCTTACAAAAAGGATGTATTCGTTTGACGACAAACCTCTTGTCATTTAATAGAGTGCTGTGGAGTCTAGCTTTTAAAATACGGAGAACAAGAAATACACAGCTGTCGGCAACAGTGATAAATCTTCACTTAATCTGGATAGGAAAGCTAAAGTAAATGAAAACAAAAGATAAGCCATTTAAAAATGGTTTTAACAGTTTAATCCATCGTTGTGTGTGGTTTTGAAGCGAATTAAAATTATTAGATAGTGTTATTTGATGAGCAATGAGTGTCTCCTCATTTCGTCCCTATTTCAGAGAGCAAATAGTTTTCTATATTTGAATTTATGTTATATCATATTTATTTAAGCTCATGTTATACAATTTATATTAATATTCTCATAACTATTTAAAGTACCGATGATTCATACTACAACTATTACTTTTCACAGCACGTCATAAGGGGTAAGCCTATCGTCATAAACATACAGAGCGTTAATTCAGATTCCGTGCTATTTTTGACAAATTACTATTACCGAAGGTAATACCTTTCTCCCATTCCTTCCAAATCCATAAATATCCGAAACCCTCATCACCAAAAGGCCGGCAAAGCACTCGTAAGTCCATTAGTGTTAGATGTACATGGGCGGCACCAATTGTTTACCATCAGGTAATCCGCCTGCCCGTATGCTAACTTATCTTATTGAAAAAAATATCGAAAAAAAAACCAGTGGTACATGAGCTCGGTTAAATTTTCTAAGATTATATGGACACAACTTACATACGTTGAAGGAAAACATCGTGAGGAAACCTGGACTTATAATCTCTAATCATAAGTTTGAAATCGCTAATCCGTCTAAAGCAAGCATAGTGATTAATGCTCAAACCTTCTCCGTGTGAGAAGAGGCCTTTGCTGATGTAATGTGATGTAAATATTATTGTACGATATATCTTTACCACAGTTTGAAGTATAATTTAATTCTTGATGTTTACATTTAATTACATTAATTTATTGGTCATTTAAGTAATGATGACGAAGACGACGTGCTCGGAACTTATTATATTAATTTGGAAAATTGATCGGTAATTGTAGTTACATTAATGGTTATTGGGTACTACAGTAATTTAAAATGTCAATATATTACTAACCGAAT